CTCCTATCCTCTCATTTTTCTTCTAATATATAAACAGATATGTTTTGGTATATGCGCACGCAAATAACAAAATAAGAGAGTGCGTGAGTGAGAGAGGGAGAAAGGAAGGCGTTCGCACTGCAGTCACAGCTATTTTTCTTCTTTTCTAATGGCCAAAACAACAACCAATTTCGCTCAGGACTTGAGAACGAGAAAGAACGACGACCAACAACAACAACTGTAAAAAAAAAAGGGTGCGATACACTCACACATGCTCAGTCCACATTTAATTTTATCTTCTTTTCCGGCTTTCATACATATTTCAGTATTACTTGCTTCTATGTCCTTGTTTACATTGCCCTTTCCTCTGAAGCTTCCCTCTTTTTCCCCACATTGTCTTCCGTCACCAAGGCGTCTTAATTCACGCAGGTGACACTCCCTCCCCTTCTTTTTTTCTTCTAACTTCTTCGCTGGACGCGTGCCCTCACGGGCGAGGCACGAGGTGGAGCTCGCAGAGGCATGCCATTGCACCCGGATGTAGAGCAAGAAGCGTGCGCGCAGCAGCAAGCACAGAGAAAACACGGAAAACCGAATTTCGCACGCAGTAGAGCCAGTGCAGCTGTGAAGCCAGTTTGAACACCACACATACATGGCACGCACTGCATACCCAAATTCCCGCAAGCACCCTCCGGAGACCTCACCCCCCGCTCTCCCCCGCGTTCAAAAAGGAAAATGGAAGCGCATCAACGGCAGAGACAACAAGAATAAGAAAGTCTCTGGCACGGAAGACATACGATAGCAACGGTGCACAGCGGAAGGTGAGGGTGTTCAGGAGCTCGCTCTAGGAAAGAGACACCATTCAGAAGAAGCACAGCGAAACAACGACATAAGAAGCAACATGAAGCGAGTCAGCGGCGCGCGCGTACTTCGGCGCTCCTGTACTCAGGTGTAACGCCGTGGCCATGGTGGAGAGAGAGAAACGGCAACAGCAACAGTAACTAATAATTATTTTTTTTTGTTTCCTTTTCCTTCTTTGTTCTTTTTCGGCAGCAAAGCTGATACCCACCACGAGCCATTCCTGTCTCCCTGCTTCTTCCAAGTTGGGATTCTGCCTCCTCCTGACTGCATGCTGCCTTTTCTTTTGTTTGTTTTTTTCTCCCTTTATTTTCATTTTCATCTTCATCTTTCGTGTGTGTTGTATTGCTCCCAGTTCCTCGTGGCGTACATTCATATTCATATATATTATATTCATATATGAATATAGGCGTATACGCTTGTCCGCCGTCTCATGCCTCACCAGTAGCCGGTGGTGTTAGACCGATAGCGGCTCGCCTGGCCGCGGAAGGTGTCACTGCCATGTGCGCCAAAGCCAGCAAATGCTCCGGAACGCGTCATGCGTTCGCGGTCTAGCTTGAGTTCATACTCGCGCCGCTTCACAGGATCGATAAGTGTTGCATGGGCCTCACCAATAATCTTGAACTTGCGTTCTGCCTGCATCCGTTCCTCGTCCGGGAGCCCCATGCACTTATCTGGGTGCCAACGAAGGGAAAGTTCGCGGTACTTCAGCTTAATTTCACGCTCGCTGCTGGTGCGGCTCACACCAAGGACATAGTAGTAATCCTTCTCACGCTCTGCCTCCTTTGTAAAGCCGTGTTCACAGTTGCGCAGTTCACGCACTAGCTCGTGGTCGCTCGGATCGTACTGTATGGCACTTTTGAAGTCTCGAATGGCGGCCGTAAAGTTGCTAAGCTGCTGGTGACAGCGCGCACGACGGGCATATGCCTTCGAGAACTCCGGATCGAGTTGAATGGCTTTGGTGCAGTCTTCAATGCCGTCTCGATACCTTCCCAGCTCCTTGTGGGCGGCGGCGCGATTGCAGTACAATATACGCAGAATTTGGTTATTGTTCTCAGCAGCGTTAATAGCAGACGTGTAATGCTCAACGGCAGCCGCAAATTTCTTTTGCTGAAAGAGTTGATTGCCCTTTTGTTTACCTTCGTCTACCACGTTGATCAGCTTCAGCAACTTGGCGCAGCTCTCGTCCAGCTGTTGGACATCGACAAGGCACAGGCGCGCCCGCTCAAAGTGCTCAAACCCAGACAGGTACAGGCAGTTTGCCATCATGTACCACAACCTTGGCGAGCGACGGAAAGGCGAGACCGCCTCCAAGGCCTCTACCGCCTTTAAATAACGTTTCTGCTGGAACAACGACTCCGCGTAACGCAGACGAAATGGAATTGTGTCACTGAACTGGGCAACCAACATGAGCCAAATTTCATCCCCCTCCGGGGTTCCAAAGGCACGCTCCGCGCGCTGCAACAACTCAAGTCCACTCTTGTACTTTTTCTTCTCAGCAAGCATGCTATCTGTTACCAGGTTCTCTGGAATGGTGTCCATTTGAGCAACGGCACGGGCAATATCTCCCATCACTGCAGCCGCCTTCGCCGCCCGAGTGTACATGCGGACATTACCAGGCTCCAGTGATATCGCTTTAAGACAGTCTGAAATGCAATCACCGTAGCGTTGCGCCATGAAGTACGCAGAACTGCGATTCCCGTACAGAGCACTGAGACGCGTCAGGCGATCGAGCGGTTGTTGTTCAATGGCTTTTGAGTACAATTCTAGTGCCAAAGTATACTCCGCTTTTTCGTAGGTGGCGTCTGCTTCCGCCTTCAATGCCTTACTGCTATCTTTACTGCGGCCTTTAATGGTACGCACAAACGCGGAATGCTTCTTCAGTAACTCCAAGCGTTCACCTGCCTCTGTTGCATCTATCGTTTCCCGCTGACGAGACTCTTCTTCGTCGGCATCCTGAAGCTCTTGGAAAAACACAGTTGGGTTGGCCGCCTTAACAGAGTCGGCATTTGCCGCGTGTGAAGTCAAGTGTCGCGCCGTCTTGTTTCCCGGAACCGCGTCGCCACGTTTGACGCGCACAATGCGTCGGCCGGCAATGGAATCATCCCCGGCACGACTTGTCGCCCTCGCCTCCGGTGAATTGGTCACGTGGTTTTTTCGATGGCATCTGCGGGCCTCGAACAGTTCCTCAATCGCCTGCACCACACCCAAGGGCAACTCCGCCATGGCGTCGACGGAAACCCGCCGCGAAAGTGCACACTTTCTACACGTCATCATGGCACTCGGCAGGACCTGCACGGGGTCCACCACAATTTTGTGGCACAACTCACACAAAAAGTACGTGGACATAAACCTTTCAAGCCACACTGCGCTCGGCGACTCCACCTCGCTGGGGAAGGCGTTGGGGCGACCGAACGGGAGCGCGCTGGTCACCCCATTTTCGGGGGCACGCCGCCTGCTGGGTGAGTTTCCACGCGACGCAAACGACGACGAGGACGAGGACGTTCCGGTGTGAAGTCCTTCTTCCTTCAGTGCCGCCTCCATTCGCGGGCACAGGCTGGGGGAAACTTGTGGCAAAAATGCACCTTTGCGGGGGGGAGCAAAGCCAAAGCTCGGAGGAGGGAAGGAGAGACGACGACGGCTCTGTGGCCCCGAAGCAACAGGGTAAAAAACAAAAAACAAAAGGGGCAAAAAGAGCGGCATGACATTAAAAAAACCGACAACAGCAACAACCAGCATTAGTAGGGAAGAAGATAAGTCTCATAAGTCCGTTTTTGTTTTCGTTTTTAGTTTGTTCCTTTGCAATACCAATCAACTATGTATGGCAGATCTCCCCTCGTGAGGTTGCTGAACTGCAGAAAAAAGGAGGGGAAAAAAAGGGGGGTAGAGAGAGAACAAAAAAAAAAAAGGCAGCCCAACGAAGAATACAGCAAAGCGAATACAAGCGACGGAATGAGAGTGAGTTGGGAAGGCACACACGCACACGTATACATAAAGGGGTTACGCCACCCTAACCCGGACACACCTTTGTCAGAAACAGCATATGCACTCTATCAAGGATGGCGACGAAGATGGCCCATCGGTGGCCTCCATCTCTTCCGTTCGCTCCTTCTCTTACGAAAGTGCAAAGACTCACTTTTCCCCACTCTCTCCTCTGCACATTCCACCTCAACCCACTCCACTGCAGTTTTTCTACCTTAGTGTTTGCTTGCTTGCTTCCGGTGTTTTTTTTCACTGCCACGCCAAATGAAAACTCACTCCATTCAAAAGATGCCCCCGCTTAGACATTCACCTCTTCCTTTACACGGGAAACCTCAGTGCGCAAGGCTGCATTGGATTTTTTACCCACACATCCCCTGCACTTGTACCCGTGGCGACGCAGCAGCATACCTGGGACGTTGTACCTCCCACAAACCACACACAACCGGGTGACGCCATCCCCATGCAGCGTGCCTTCCGATGGCTCGGGGGAGGAATGAAAGCTACCAGCCATCGACTGACTTTCTGCGCTAGAGCGAGTTGCCACAGGCACCAAGTACTCCACGGGGATAGACATGGATACGGGATAACGATAACCAGCTGGAGAAACCTTTTTCGGGATGAACTGCATCAGGACAAGATTCTGTCCAGTGTAGCGCACGGCTACACCTACAATCTTGCCCCCACACACCTCTTCCATCGAGGAGCACCAGTAGCTGTCGGTGAGATGCTCACGGAGCGAGGAACTGGGAGCCAGGATCCGGTACTTTTGGCCAAGGGTCACAAGCGGCTCCACTTGCAAATGCTCTCTCAGAGTTCGGCTACCCATCAAAAGCAGAGGTGCACCTGTTAACGTGGCGAGGAAGCAAAAAAAAAAAAGGCAGGAAGGAGATAACTTCAAAAAGAAAATTTTAAAAAGGCAGGGGGTGCAGAGAAGAAAAAAGAAAATTAGTAATAAAAACAACAATAATAAGAAAGA